TGCATAATAAGTTGGTTAGTCGACAAGTGAAAATAAAACATTTCACTTAATATTTATTACGATTCTTCCGTGAAAGCGAGCTTTTGGTCGCTTCTAGTCATTACGTTACGATAAAATAAAGCAATGGTTTGTAGAACATAACAAAAAGGCTATATATTAACTGTGTTTAAACAAAATATAATTTCACAGCTTATAGGAAGCAATACAGAACGAAATCAGAATCATTTTTGTATACTAAATCACTTGAAATAAGTGTAACACTGAGAAATACAAAAGGCACATTTAAAACTGAATGAATACTACTATATGGATACTGTGGTGCTTGAGGAGCACAAATTACCATACGTCCATGTTTCCATATGTTGAATTCCAATTTGAAAATTTTAAAAGACATCCTTAAAAGCAGCTTAGCAGCCTTTATTTTAACTGTATCTTTGAATAGGCATAATAGAAGTTGCAAATTTTGAAATGTTAGTTCATTTTGCGCATACCGCTTACACACAACAAGCATGCAGATGAATGTTTTTGTTAAAAGGTTTTGTTTAGAAGGCATACATTTGAATTCTACTGAAATGTGTATTGCAGTCGCATGCATCGCTCCTAAAAAATTGCACGTAGTAGGATACTACCAAACAGTTGTGCATACTTTACACACTTCTGTATTTCTGTACTACATATAGGAATTATATTTGAGATCAGTGGACGCATTGAACGTATGTTGTCTCTCAAGTGTATGATAACAATACTCAATGAATCTCAAAGGATCATTATAACTCCCCTAATATGTGTAAAGATTGGAGATTTAGTTTCAGTCTCAAAGGAACATAGCCTTGCAGTAGAAATCGGAACTTCTTTAGTCAAAAACTGCTAATTTAACACTAAATAGTGTACCCAATATCGTCCTATAGAACTTTTGTGGGTTCATTCATTCAGTCGTTATATTCAACCACAGTACAATCTCATATCATATCCTTACATTTGTACCATTAGATCAACACATTTATAATAATCGTCCAACAAAAACCTTCTTCAAAACCTTCTTTTTATTATATACCGGCCAACTTTGTTTTCGAACTTTAAGTATGGATAACAAGTAACTGTATTGAAGCAATGTGTGTTATTGTCAACAAAATCAATGCATTTATAAATGCTTTGCACACATATGGGAAATTATTATTCAGAAGTTAGATAATGATCTGTTACTTAACCTATAACCTAATATAAAATGTGACAGAATTTGAGGGAATGATTTATGACAGTTATCTAAAGGTGTTTCAGAAATCTTATTGGTGTAAAAAGTAATTCATTAAGTCATTCAAAAAGAGAAGTAACAACTTCTTACGTTCACATAAAACTAACAACGTGTTATACATTTATTTATTTTATTTTATTTTTCATTACAGCCTGATTCCACACTGTATTCTTGGTACAAGTATGGAATTTTCAGCATATGATATTAGTAGTCTAAATTTTTTACAGGCTGACCATAGATATCGGGTGTGCGTCAGCAGGGGATCGAACATGGGACCATGTGCTTTTTTTCGGCAAGAGTCCTAACTACTAACCGACGCACAGTGCTACTATGAGAAAAAAAATTCTGCTAAAATAATTTGTCTCATTGTTCCTATCATTCACCAATGATTAGAATGCTACATAGTCAATAGCAATTAGATGGCAAAACAGCAAGATGTAAAAGTTCCTTGATTTAACATACAAAATGAGTCTACATTATGCCGATACGAAACATAACTCAAAGTCCATCAAACAACGCTTGCTGGAATATACATATAAAATAAAAAGAACGAAGTATTTCAATTTCAAAAATAGCCTACGAAAAAGGCACAGACTCTTTAGAAGAACAGTATGAAGGCATACTTCGACATATACTAATCGTGTCAAGTAATTCATAAATTAAACAAAGTACAAAACACTAACAGCGAAATAATGAGTAATAATGAAAACACACGGTATGAGATACAGTTCCATGCTCAGTATACGTAAGCAATGAGAAAAATTAATACCCAACACCATATTCAGTATATTTACCACTCTTCAGTTCTCAAGCAAAACAACCCCCTCTCATTCATTCTTCAACTAACAAAATTAATTGTAAGAATTATTTTCAGGTTGACATCACTAGAATAGGTGAGGAAACCAAGTGAACTTTATATCGCATCGTTCATGGTCACTAGTTCAATTAGATGCATACCAGTTTCGTCTAATATCAAAAACTAGGCTAATAGTTTGGCAGTAAACTTTCCCATAACAATGTCATTTCTATTACACAACACAAGTTTCAGAATCTATTACATGTCCTTTTGTCTAACAAACCAATTAGTTGTCCCATGAGATTCGTTTACTGTTAGTTAAAATTTATTCAACTCTTTGAATTTCTACTGTCCATTTCACCTGAATAGAAGGTATCTTCACTGCTTTTTAGAAACACAAAATTGAGGAAAACCATGAGGTATATCAACTGTGTTGAAAACACATAATCCTCTATTGATCGCAGACATTAAATATGTGACTGAAGAATGTTCTTCGTATCTCACACATAATCTGACAAATTTTCAGGGTTAAAGTGTCGCAGTTGAAGACGTAAACAGAATCGACTAGAACTGTGGTAGCTGGATGCAATCAGATTTAAATCAGCACTATTCAAAAAGGTTCTCAGATTTTCGGCAACATATATAAAAGATTGCTGTTTAGCTATGAAAAAACGTTGCAACGCGTTTGACTATTCTCGGATAACTAACCCTTAACGGAATATTTTCCGTAACTGAGCGCGATTCACTGATGCGGAACACTGAGCAGATTTTATGCATGTTTCAGGGTGACTAGTATTCAAAATAATCAAATTTCTTCCTGGTTATATCATGTTTTCCTATGTTTTGTTAATAAGTTGCAATAATTAGTTCAAACACTGGCATAAGATTGTAGAAAGAATAAGAAATAAGTTAACTAACAATTGCTTTCAGTGACTTCTTTCCAATATCCCATAGTTGTAACTCTCTAAGTAAATAATACCACTCAACTCGTAAAAGTGGAAACAAAACTAAATTGAAAACGTGCCATTTCTACTGCAGACCAATTGAGAGATGAATAGATTCATTCCTCAGTTCGGCTGTAATATAAATGCATCAAAATGAAGAGGCAAGTGAAATATAAGACATGTGCGAGCACTCGGTATAAACAAAACAAGTAATTTCTAGAAAAGACTAAAATAAGAGGAAATGCAAGTTCAGTACACAAATTCCCCAATGACACATTTAGTGTCTGCGATCAATAGAGGATTATGTGTTTTCAACACAGTTGATATACCTCATGGTTTTCCTCAATTTTGTGTTTCTAAAAAGCAGTGAAGATACCTTCTATTCAGGTGAAATGGACAGTAGAAATTCAAAGAGTTGAATAAATTTTAACTAACAGTAAACGAATCTCATGGGACAACTAATTGGTTTGTTAGACAAAAGGACATGTAATAGATTCTGAAACTTGTGTTGTGTAATAGAAATGACATTGTTATGGGAAAGTTTACTGCCAAACTATTAGCCTAGTTTTTGATATTAGACGAAACTGGTATGCATCTAATTGAACTAGTGACCATGAACGATGCGATATAAAGTTCACTTGGTTTCCTCACCTATTCTAGTGATGTCAACCTGAAAATAATTCTTACAATTAATTTTGTTAGTTGAAGAATGAATGAGAGGGGGTTGTTTTGCTTGAGAACTGAGGAGTGGTAAATATACTGAATATGGTGTTGGGTATTTTGTATCACTACTTCCATGATACACATGATGCGTTTCATGGTAGTTGGCTGCGATTGAATTCATATTGTTTATACTTTATGAAGACGGTATTTTTGATGCAGTAGGAAAGCCGCTGTGAGCCTTGATGCTTACTGTGGGTTTTTTTAAAATGATGTTTTTCGTGTCGATTTTGGCTCGGTGAGATACTTTTTGATACTGTCAGTTTGAAATGACTTGAAAGGTGTATTTTAGATTTACCTATAAATTAGTAATAAGATATTTATATGATATATTTACATAATAAGATAATCAGTCTTGAATAACTCTGCTTCTGGTGGGACCCATTATAAGCCCTTTTTATTGAACCTAAAGCCTATTCCATAGCTAACAGTGGTCTTTGCGCCCAAATATAATCATTAATCAGTCTTCGAAATTACATAAAATATACACAAATAGTAGTAAAGTTTTGCATACTTACCAGACATACTTTTAGCACTAATGCATAATAACTAAACATAGCTTTCTCTGTATAATTGACAACCCTGTGTTCGACTCTCGCACGTCACTACAGTACCTTCATCGTTCTGCATTTCAACTTTTCATATCTCAATAGCACTATTTCTTATAGCCTACTTAAACGTTACTTCTTTTAGCTTTGAAAATAAGCCTACGATAAATTTATATTTTTATGTTAGATGTCATCAACTGACCAATAGTTCAAATCTGCAGGCAGAGAGTACATTTTCACTTCATAACTGTTTAGGTGCAACAATCCACAGAGTAATAAAGAATCGATATCAGTAAGTTTCATGATAAAATCATTTATTGCAAAAGTTACTGTTTCTTTTCCCAAGTCAGTTCTTCAAAGAGTAAAAGTCAACAAATATGAGAAATGATAATTATTTTATATTATTACGGAAAATCTAAACTGCAACACAAATACTGTTTTATGACCATTTGATTACAAATAAATTTATATCGAACATTGATCAGTGAATCTAACATATCGCTTTTCTTACAGAAACGGTATTTATAATATAAAAATAAACGTTTTACGTCAAAAGTGGTGCCTCAAGTGATTGTTTGAAGCGAAAGATTCAACCTGTATAATCACTGTAATACTGCATTCAGATTTCACAATTTGTGAGAAGTAATCAGATTGAATGAAGTGTTGTTTTTCCTAGACGTTTAGTTGTATAGAGCAAATTATTCTGTTTGCCTTTATTTATTCAATCAAGATTTATTGAACTAATTCCTCTGATCCAGCAGTTCACCTGACATTTGCATTTCCTGTTTACAAAAAGAAATTATTTTAGATTAATGTTAATAAATATGATGGTTAGTTGAAATAGCAAACAAGCACATTAGGTGTCTAGTAATATGGAACTTACAATAAAAAAATTGTGTTTTTTATTCCATATCTTTTGACTGTATTGATGCTCCAAGAGGTGAAGGTTTCATCTAAAGATGCTTTTGACATATGAATTGGTGTCATTTTTAGCGATTTTCACGAGGAATTGAATTTGACATCTTTCATAATTAAGACTCACAGCGGCGTGCAGCAGATGACAAAAGTTAAACACAAAAGAGGGCCTTAATGCATTTACAACTTTAGAAAACGAAGAAATCAACAGTATCTCACCCAGTAAACCAAACAATCGAATTTAAGTTAACTTTGAGATGTGTTTTAAAGTCACACAGCGAAAAGAGAGCGATAGGAGGAACCAGAAGCTGAATAAGAAAACTCAGAGACAACTTTCTCTTCAAAGAAACCAATTTGTTAGTCAGATCAATAGAACCCAGACTACCTTTGACATATTCAATAAATTTATATGTATACCTAATTCAATTTGTCAAGGATCTACTTGAAAAGAAAAGCTGCAAGGGATGTTTACAGGGGGGTTTATGGATGGTATTCTTAAATTCTCTGAGACATAACAATGTCATACTTCTGTCCACTTAAAACTACTGTCCTCAGTTAACAGGCACACAAATAAACAGCTGTTATTTATAAAAAATGTTTTTATAAAACCAACAACTTTTTTGAACGTATCCCAGTAGTATGAACACCATTTGTTCAGATTTAATTGAGTTGCATTTTATCTGAATAAGACAATGCCTTAATTCGATTGTCTGTTAAAGTTTACGTCGTGACCATTACTTCAGACAATATTTACGATGTGTATTGTGAATCGTGTCTTTTACTGATATTTTTGGACTATAGAGTAAACGTTAAACTTCCAATGCCAGCTTTCTTATTCTAGTTCTGTATAAATGTTAAACTCACCGAAATTTAGCTAAATGTTAGGTGTATTAATACGCCAAATATGAGAACTAAGCTACAGTGATCTCTGTCTTGATATTTATTTATTTCCCTCACGTTCCCAGTGGAACATAGGGCTTCAAGCTGGAGGCTTGAAAGTTCTGTAGCAGTATTTATTTTTACAGGATGGGGTTGCTAGCCTCATGCCCAACCTTCCTTCTTTACCCGTCTTATTACTGGCTAAGTGAGGTAAGGGAGTGCGTCGGCAGGGGATCGAGCCCCGAACTATGTGCATGGTTGGCGAGCATGGAAACCGTTGTACCACCGATCCACATAGTTGATTAAATATAACGTCTATAAAAGACAAAATAATTGTTGGTATGCGGTAAACGACTTTGAAATCCTGTTTGGCGTCAATCTTGTGTTCTGTATCCATAAGATGAGAAAGAATAGCGCTACAAATAGATTTTGTTTGACCTTTACTTAACCACGCCAGGTGATGTTCGGAAATCCAACGAGAAACACACTTAGTTGTGCGGCCTATGTAACTAGCTCCACAGGAGCAGTTAAATTAGTGGCTACACATAGGAAAGTTGACAACAATAATTGCAACTCATTTAAGCAGCATGTGACAACATGAAACACCTATCACGTCAGTTAAAGTGACATAGTAAAATTCGTTTAAATGTTCATGAAATAATAGAAACATGAATGATTTTTGTTCATGTAAAACTTCATATGACTTGTGGAAGTACTGTTTTTCTTTTAAAAATTCCATTATGATTTTAAAAACTAAATTTGAGGCTCGTGGGCAAAAGTTAACCTCTGAAACAGATAGTATTGTATCAGGCTAACATAAGTGTATCCCCTAACATCTATAAAACATTTCAAGATTTGCTATATCGGGACTCTCTAATTACAACTGTAAGGTGTCCAATTCAAGTGATTTTAAAAGCCAGTTTTCAAAACTGTTGATGGTGAATAATTCATCTTGGTGGCATCAAACTGTTATATTTTGCAAAATACTTAAATGTTATTCATGCTAAATTTATTGATGTTTTTTCAAATTTAGCATTCCATATTAAATGCCCCAAAATAAGTTAACCTAACAGAATTTAATTTTTATTTCAGTAGGTATCTAGCTTATCGGGGAGTAAATAAGACAGATTTCTTTGGAGGTGGCTCTTCTAAATTTTTGCATTTAAAAAACTCCATGTGTGTCGGTTGCACAGTGGTTAGGACCCTCGCCGGCTATGCACATGGTCCGAGGTTCGATCCCCTGCCGACGCACACCCGATATCTATGGTTGGCCAGCAAAATTTGGGCTACCGATATCATATGCTGAAAATTCCATACTTGTACTGAAAATACGGTGTGGAATAAAGCTGTAATCAAAATCAAATCAAACCAAACACTAACAACACTACTTTCTTGAAATATGATATTGTGTTCTGAAATAATAATACTCAATGAAATAATTTTTGATCATAAATAATAAAAAATTTGTGACAGTTTGCCGGGAATAAATATTTTAAACCGTGAGGATTACATTAATAAACTTCGTACCATTCCTCGGAAGGAAGAAAACTTTTTTAAATCAACTGACTAGAAAAACACAACACAGAGTATTGAGAATGAACTGTCGCAAACTTTGAAGAAGTTGAAGGATGAATCTGTTATTACTGCGTATACGCATGAACGTTTCAACCCATCCGGTTCAGCTATCCCTCGTTTATACGGTCTTCCTAAGGTGAACAAAAAGATGGCGTCTGTCTGTAGCCTATATTGGACAAGCTGAACTCACCTTATCATTCTACATCCAAATGGCTTGGTGAAAATCTGGAATCAGTGAGGTTGAATCTATATAAACATTCTTTTAGATACTCCTAACTTCGTTGGTTGTGTTGATGGAATTAACGTAACCCATGAGACTATGATTTAATCAGATGTCTACTCCTGATTTAGAAATGTTTCACTAGTAGAAAGCATCTGTTTTCTATGTGGTTACACTGATCAGAAAAATATGAAGATTCTATTGCCAACTAACAATTTAAAACAGGTTTTACTGAGATGCACGCTTAATACACAGCTTAAATTTAACGATTTCATCTATAATCAAAAGGCTGGAGTAGCCATGTGCTCCCATTAGGACGTCTCCCAGCGGACATCTTCACGACGAACTTGATAATGGTCCATTGGAAGCAATTATTTAAAGCCTGCATATGTATAAGAGATATGTGAAAGACACCTTTATTACTCGTGATGATAAGTGATCAATTAATGAAAAAATTATTATTATTAGTTTGCCCGTCTATACTTTTCCTTATCAAAGAAGAGTCGAATTCTGCATTTCACTTCTAAGATATTGCGCTAAGCAGAAGGAAAGATGGCACGTTGAAAAGGTCGATTTACCGAAAGCCAATATTTACAGGGCAGTACACTAACTTCAACAGTTGCGTATTTCTAGGCAGAAAGAGAAAACACATCCGCCCTCTGTGCGTGAAAATTCTGAAAATCTCCTCTATAGATACAGTCAACTCACAACTATCTTAAGTAATGAATATCCTAGAATGTTTATCGACAGAAACACCAGGAAAGAAACCGTCCGCAGACAAAACACAGTGCTTACGAAGACACTGTTTATGAGGTGATACTATTGCTGAAGTAATACAAAGTCGTTAACCTAAATGTATTAAACTGTCTTTTTGTGTGGCTGGCTTACATTCAGTATTTGCCAGCTGAAATATAATTCCACAATGCCTCAAGGATAAACTACCGTTGATATCCACCTCAATGTGCATATATTCATTCACATGTTCCTGTGGAGCTGATTGGACTGAACGTTGTAAGCATGTTCTCAGCAAATCCCTAGCTGAACACTACCGGCTTAGTTAATGAAAAACAAGCATAGGATGATGTAGTTTTCAATTTGTAAACACTTTGTGGAGTCATGTTATTCAGCCCTACACGATTTATCCTTTAAAGATATGTATAGAGCCAAATCTAACCTCTCCAAAAGCTTACGTTTTCTCCACTTATGCATGGTTGAAGCCTTGGCTACACTTCGACGGAAGCCTAAATTAAGTGTTCAGAAACGTTTTGTTGAAGCCCCTTTGTTTACTTTGGTCTTAGTAATGTTCTTTTATTTTATTCTATTTTACCACTTCAATTCATCTTCGCCTTTTGTATTGTTGTCGTCACCATACTCTTAGTTTTTTAGACAAAGCTTAACCTACCATTTTAAAAATCTTAATACCAATTCACTTATTTAATAGTCTCTTAATTTCCTGTAATTCATCCAGTCCAAATATATCCCCTTAATACTGTTTTAATTATCTTTATTCTTATCATAAGTTTGTTCACTGAGCAATTCAGAAAAAGACTGTAGAATGTCATTCAAAAAGTGAAACTGTGGTTACAAAATATACTTTTCTTTGAGATGCAGTGAACATGAACAAGATTATTATAATTTCCATCAATTATGCGTTGTCATCTCAAACCCAATAGTTTGGATGAATTCCTCATTAATTCACTTATTTCTGTATTAAAATTCCGGTATAAAACACCATCCTACTTAATGTTTACCAGTAGCTTGTCTTTGCTGTTAATAAATTTCGAAATAGTAGGCTGTAAATTCTGAAAAAAATTCAGTCATATAATCTCGCCTCATTGAAAATCAGTTTGTAACGCATTACTGCTTTAATCACAGTACAGACTTGAAAAGAAAACCTAATCTCACTTCAATAGTGCATCTACTCGACTACTATGAGTGTAAATCTCACTTTAGATAAGTATATTCGAAAAAATTCCAAACTTTTCTACAACAGTCCTCAAATTCTACTCTAATATTATATAGACAAATAATTTTGGCAGCAATAATGGGAGTTAAAGTGGTTCTGTGAAGATTTATGAGTTATAACCAGTTACATATCAAGTGAATCTTATTTTATATACTGTTTAGTAATCAGTTACATGAGACTTTTCATTTGTAGACAGAAATGCTGATAGCCACATGTTTTCCGAGTTTTTAAATCCATTCGCCAAATCAAGAGGTAAATATCAATATATAAATAGGAAGATGAATTTTATGATGGTTTGGAGATTTCACGCAAACCAGAAATATTTTAACAATAAAGTTTGGAACATAATTGTTTAATGAGTACTTCTAAACATAGCATAAAGATGAAAAAAATTATGTACCTGTTTCTGTGACAATTTCTTTCTCATTGATGTGTCGTATTGATATGCGGTGATTTTACTCGGTCGTCCAATTCCTAATGCCGATTTGAATTTTGCATTTTTGAAAGCATAGACAAATGGATCATAGATAGCTGCCATTTTAGCAAATATGCATGGTATCTCAGCCACCATTGGTGTTAGACAGTCTGTATGGCCTAACAGGGAAACCAAGCATACTGTAGCATACGGCGTCCATGACATTAGATAAAATAGCAATAACAGTACTGAAGATTTTGCAGCCTGGATATCTAAACGTTTTCTGTCTGCAATTGTATTCAGAGAATGATAATGCAATTGATATTTAATGTAAAATATTTTTTTTTAAACATACTGAGTTTAAGGAGAGTAAACTTTAAGATATTTTAGCGATAAAGTTTGCACAAATGTTTCAGGATAACGTGGAATGGTGTCTTCAGTGCATTCGAAACTTTTTGTTGCCTAGATCCACGCCTACTCATCAAAACTGATACTAACAGAATTAAGCCCACTTTATTAGGCTGTTATCTACACAAAACTTCATGAAGTGTATTTGTTTTAGTAACTTGAGTATAAAATAACTTGACGTGATCTAAATTTCATCTGGTACACGTCTGAAAATTAACCAGTATTCAGTTTTTTTTAGCTCTAAAGGTTGGTTTAATACTAACCAACGCAGTGTCCATATTTGACTGACACAGTAAACACTATATTCCCCTTCGACTGATGTAACATGTTTACAGGCAGGTGGTTGTAAATTTTACTCAACTTTGTCTTTGTTTTATATGCACCCATCACTATGCAGTATTATTGAACTGTGCGGAAAAAATTATGTCTCTTGAGGAGTTCAAATCTTCATTACTTATTCAGTCACACAATAAGGTGCATCAACACTAAATTATTCTAATTTAACTGCTAAATCAGTCATTGGAACAATAGTATTCCAAGAAGACTACTAATGCTGACAATTATTAATCCTATGGTATGTACTTTTAAATCCACTTTAGTATATCTTCTTTTTACAATAACCCCTTTAGTAGTTAGTGCTAGTTTTGATTTCTAAACCCCAACAAATTTAAGGGGAAAACGGACTGTTGTATGCTGTCTAATAGTTAACTCTTCAGCCTTAACAGTCGTTTTGAGGCTTAACATATCACACCATAACCGATAAGTTCCAACGTCTATGGCTATCTCCACAAACAGTAGTGTGGCGTGATGCAGGTTGATAGGGGGCGGCCAAAACTGGAAGTGATATATTTTAAATCAATGGCTGCAGAGTTTGAATTGTTTACTCTTCAAATCTGGATCTACTTTGAGTAACTTCATTGGACAACCTGTCTAACCTTAGGCCAGTTGCCAACCAATCTGACATAGATGAGCTTTAATTTGGCTAAAAATGATTAGATATGGTGTTTTTCCTTTAAATAAAGGTCTGTTACCAAGTCTTTTGTCTTCTACAGTTGTTGTAGTAGTATCCTTCTTCATAAGGAGGATTCAACACCGTTTATAAAATGAATCGTTGATGTATTCAGACAAATTTTCTGAAACAGTTGTAAATCCAAAACATCTCCGGAAACACAAACAGAACACCTATTCTCTTCAGTATTCATTCTCAGTTCGATCATCAACTGTTAGTGCTGATATTGTGCTTATATATATATATATATATATATATATATATATATATATATATATATATATATATATCATCAGCCTCCCTTCATCTATCTCAGGAAGAATTAATGTTTAAAAAATGCTTCTAAGGATAACGAGAATTTTTCACCTTGTCAATTCACCTTTAGCCAGACTTCGCACTTCCCACTTGAACTGCATTTGTGGCCAGTATGGAATGGACTGAGTGAATGTAATAGGAAGTTATGATAAACTGAAGTTCTTTTGCAAAATCCAGAATAATTAAGCAAGCATTATGACTAACCGCAACAAATTATACTGTGGATTGATGCAATCAGGAGTAGTGTTTCATTTTGATAACTCATCTAACATAAAAATCAATATCTCCTGAAAACATAATCAAGTTTAGATGGCGTGAAGTTGTATGAAACGACAGCTGCAGTTTAATTACTCATAATGAACAATCAATAAAATATGAAAAGAGATAATCGACTTACTTCTGGAAAACTTATATGGTTTGAATCTGCCATCACTTGATAGACTTAATGATAAATTTCGTTCATTTTGACGAACAACTCTTATTAAATTCAGATAACAGTAGACAGATAACAAAACTGGGAACATAAAGCCAAATATGTACATTCCTCCGCTGAATAAAAGATTAGGCACATCATTTGAAATATAATCAAATGTGCACGATGTGTGAAATCCCTCAAGCACATAACGTCCTAGAGAAAAAATATTAAAGATGTATAACTAGGAAATAGGTTTTTTTCTAATTAACTAAGATGAATGGACCGAAGAGAATAAATACACAAGAATACAGGCTTTTAGGAGAAGCGTGAACTCAGTTACAATATTCATACAGTTCGAAGAATGTTCATGTGATAAATATCTAGAACTGCTTTTCTGTTTATTGTTAAATACTACTTCATAATATAATTCAGTTGTCGATGATTTAGTCGGAGCTCATCATCACAAACCAGCAGAAATGCTGAAAAGCTATGTGCATTTCTGGAATTTCATAGTTCTATTTCACCAATATTCATAAACTTCAACTACACATAGCAGTATGTGGACCTAAGTCTGCTTATCAGTGAAAAGTCAGAATAGCACACTTATAACTCGAAAGCATACAATTGTTAGTCCTAAACTGCTATGGTCATATTGTATTTTAAGAAAACTACTAACGTTATCATGTAGTCAGTCCGCTATTCCTAGATGTCATGATTTCACTCCCTTTGATAAGATGAATAAGGTCTTTTATATATGGCTTTGAAGGACTTTTCAAATGGGGCTGGTTGTTCAGAACTCACCAGGTGTTCTGTTATCGAACTGTATACCCCTTTGCTTTGCAGTGATGATCCAAAAACTCAAGCCTATTCTATGTGTCTAAAAGAAATACGTCCAACTGTAGTCGCTACCGTGGCCATCACGAAAAGTCAGTCTCATCAATAATGATTATCCTATTACCTTTCTTGTCCTACCTGCCCGTCTATTTGTTATATTTACCTATTAAATCCCTATCTGCATTATTAGATTTGGTCACTGTTTCTATTTTTATATGTTCGAACCTCCTAAACATCTTGTTAATACTATATTCTCAACCCGTGATTATATAAATTGACTAGTTTTATAGTAATTATAATTTTGTTTTGTCTATTCTACCCAATCTTCCTGTTTATAACACATTGTAATTTTTAATTTGACTTTGGGCCTGAAATATTTATAGAATAGCGCCACTAGCTAGCTACCTTCTGTTTATTACACTTAGTAGTTTTATTAATCTGACTTCTGACCGGAAATAACTCTGGAACTTTCTCACACATGTTATATAAGTACACGAATGTGCAGCCTAGTTGATGACTTCGTCGAAAAGAACATTTTGTTCGTCTCAACCGTTTTTTTAATAATTCCTATAAATCAAAAAGCTATAGTTGCCAGACAAAAACAGCGAAGTACGTGATTTATTATTACAAACAAGAACAGGTGAAAGGTCAAATAACTTTTTGTTTTCAAATATATTAGACATATCGATCCAACTTACCATAGCCAAAAAATGGTGGAATAGTCCATAATAAAGACCATACCCAAAGACCGATTATAATCATAATAGTGAATCGAAAGTTGCCATGTCTATTAATTTTGAAGTTTTTAACGATCACAGAATAACGATCAAAAGCAATAGCAGATATTGTGGTCAGTGATACAAATCCGAATGTACCACTTGCAAATCCATACAGTTGACAAGCTGAAGAGAACGCATTCGTCTAACTTAACAGTTATAAATATTAACACTCAGAAGTGAGTTATTTTGTTAAAATACATGATGAGATTAAAATCATATCATTTTCGATTACCTGCAATATTCCAAGATGGTAGTATATCTTTTAAATATTTCTTAAATTATTTTATTGCTGCTTTTACCTCAGAGTTTGTTAAGCATGATAATTGGAAGCATCAGGGCTCCAAACGTGACAGCTTTAAGTTTACCAGCAAGACTCTTTCTCAGCAGAGGCATATAATGAAACAAAATTTAAACTTCGTTGGGGCGTTAAATTTCAATAACCGACAATACCATACTGTTGTTTCAGCGAAATGTTATTTGCAGCAAAATGGTAGCTATATATGCTGACAAAGATAAAACTTACTTGGATATTGACAATATAAAAGGCGAATTCAATCTACAATGTAATATCAGTGATGTAAGCAGATAGGATATTTTGGATTAACTTAAATCTACATTTATTCATTTATGAAACAGTTTTATTTTGTGTATGTTGTCAGTAAATCTATTTTTATCTACACAAAAGAATCCAGTGTTTTTTAAATTTTAAGTCGCAGTGTGAACTATTTCAGTCGCAACCATATATCTTGCTGCTAACTGTCTTCCATCAAAAGATATTTTAAAACTTGTTACCCGCAGCTGGAAATCATGGCTTCATAAGTCTTAATAATTACGGTTCAATAACCGCTGTCTCAACATTGAAAACAGGCTTTCAGGTTCTTCATTGTCTAGATAAAGCAATAAGTACCTGCTGCCTGCCATTCAGTAGAAGCAGATAACATTTTTAGAGTTGGATGACTGGAACTATATGAGCTGGATGATCTCGTATATATATATATATATATATATATATATATATATATATATATATATATATATATATATGTAAGTAGAATTAGCACTAAAAACTGTTTATATTTCTCTCATTTTTCACATTTAGGGTTTAGAATCCAAGCTAATATGTTGACACAAAAGAGGAAGGAGCTATGACGTGTAAACTTCCCTCTAACTGATAAATATATATATATATATATATATATATATATATATATGTTTTATAAGGACAATGACTTTATGCCACTATTGCGGGCTGAAAATATTTCATCTTCATAGTCAACTACTTATAAACAGATAAGTGTTAGGAATTTAAGTCAGCATCATAAGAATATATTTATTCGCCATTCAATGAAAGCACTAACAGTCACTGTTGTGTGACGGCATACATTCGAGAATTAATTTTTTTAATTTTTTGATTACAGCTTGATGCCACACCGTATTTTTGGTACAAGTATGGAATTTTCAGCATGGATATCGGTAGCCCAAATTTTGCAGGCCGACCATAGATATCAGGTGTGCGTCGGCAGGGGATCGAACCTCAGACCATGTGCATGGTCGGCGAGGGTCCTAACCACTGTGCCACCGACGCACACCAATTTACGCTCTCCCCCTCCCCCTGGGTAATGGTTAGCTCGCAGTTTCAAACAACAGGAACTCGGTTTAGTTGGACAGAGTGATTCTAACGATTTTCGTTGGTTATTCTTTGCAAGTACTTTCGGTAACAAGTACAACTTAATTTGTTCATATAGGCTCCTTTACTTTACACATTACAAATCCAATATAATCCTATTTATTTTCTTTGGACAGTCATCTTGTCATCTGTCACTTATATGAGGAGTTCAACAGGCATGTAGTAATTTTTAAGAGTCAGCTTTTAGGGATTCTATTTGTTTCAAGTTAGACCATGGATTGATATCAGTTATTGAACCACAGCTGTTTCGTCCTAGTTTGCGATTCATAGTCAGTAGACACCCAGGACCTTCTGGTTACAAGGTAAGCTCGCATACCATTCAGCCACTGGGACCCGATTCAATGGACAGTGCATGGATTCTAACTTCTATCAATTCATGATTTTAGCATAGCCACCAACTAATGTCATCAGCAGGAAATCCATCCTCACTTCCAACTCGATAGACCCCATATGCATGTTTAGATCTACATAAATAACTCCATATCATAATCCTAATAGATGATTTGATATCATTCTTAGAGGATGAGGTAAATTTAATAAAGAAATGAACACTCTTGGTTTGAAAACTAGTTTTCTTCTGATGGAGACGATAATAATCGAGAACCTTAATATAATAATATTCTCTAAGTACATTCTTACACTTAGTCTAATTCAGGTAGACTTCTAAGTATTTTCCTAAGACAAATCAACCGATAAATATATAAATTATTTAAATTAATCTCAGCGTGTTTAAGAAAATCAAAACTTTATCAGTATCGAATAAATAATACTGATGATTGTCTTAATATTCTTATATCCAAGGATCACCTAACTACCATCACCCAGTTATTTGAAGATCAAAAGTCCGCTCATTTCAGTGCTACTAAGCAAAGACAAATTCCAAAATTTGAAAAAGCTTATAAATCCAAACGCAGCATACTCCACAGCAAATAAATCGAATGTACAGGCAAACACAAGAACAGTATGCAACTCATCAGATAGAGAACTTAGTGTATATGAAACGGCATAGCCTGAGAAAGGATTAAAGTTTAACACAACTCGACGAACAACTGGAAGCGATAGAAATATATCCCATCATAGAACCTGTATTAACTCTTTTAACTAATGATGAAGCTAATGAATTACTTTAGAAGGCTGGATGTATCCTGTCGAATCGAAAGCAGGTCATCCCAAATTTGTCGAAAGACGAACGTCATGCATTATAAACATTAACATCATACAAATCTGTTGTTATAACTAAAGCCGATAAATGCAATATCACTCTGATTCTTAATAAAGTTGACTATGACAAGAAAGCTTTGGAACATATCGAAGCAGGTCCATACGCACTAGTACCAAGAAACAAAATGTCCAAGAGTATAAACAAAGTAAAGGCATAAGTATGCAATCGACTTAGAGAATTGAAACCAAAACTAGGGAATTCAGTTTGGTTTTCAATAGCTCCCAAAACAAACACTGCCGCGAGATTATTATGGAAGGCCGAAAATACACAAAATAGATGTTCCTTTAAGACCGATAACTGATTTCACCAATTCTGTGACATACACTTTATCAAAACACTTTAAAAATACTGCAACCACTTCAATACAATATTCCTTCGGACATAAAAGATACTGAGGAGTTTAAAAGGAAAGTGATGGACACAACTATTGAAGAAGACGAAATTATGTCAGGTTTTGATGTGGTTTCTTTATTTACTAGTATTCCTATGTGTGATTCACTTGATATTATGAAATATGAACTTGAAAACAATCAGCAGTTATTAGCTAAATCTTCATTATCGATAGAAGTTATAAAATGCTTAAAACTTTGTTTAGAATCTACATATTTTACCTTGAAAGACAAACTATGCTGTCAAACAAATGGAGTTGCAATGGATTCACCAGCATCTCCAATTGTAGCAAACCTGTATATAAAAGCTATAGAAAGAAAAGCACTAACAAGTTTTAGTTATCATCCGGGAACATGGTACAGATATGTAGATGACACATTTATCATCATGAATAAAGCTGAAAAAGAAAGCTTCCTAATAGAGATTAACATAATCTCAGAATATATAGAGTTTACTAATGAAGCAAAATCGGCTAAAGGGACTCTAAACTTTCTTGATTGTCTTGTAAAAAGACAAACTGACGAGAAACTGAAGTTTTCAACATACAGAAAACCGACACACTTCAACAGGTATTAAAATTTCCAATCAGACCATCTAATAGGAATGAAAGTTTCAGTAGCTTTAAATCTCTTTAAGATAGCTAAAAGCATTATAGCATATAATAATGATATGGAGAACAAGATATCCAATATAAAACAGATTTTGACCGGAAACGATTATCCGTAAAAGCTACTGGATAATATTATCAATAAAAAGGAACATAAGAAAAAACAGGAAATCTTGGCTATCGACGACAGGCAACTTCAAAGACTATTTGCTTCATATAATATTAGTCTATTTTAAGCCCTCTAATTCTCTAGGGAAAGCTTTAGTGAATGTCAAAGATATGGTTCACAAATTGTCACAAAGTAATTGTGTCTATAGGATAAAGTGCTCATAATGTGAAGCTTGCTATATAGAGGGGAGCTGTAGACTGGTGAAGGCCACAGTGAATGAATATAGACTATGCACGAAACATCCAAAATGAAGTAGAATTAAAAAGTCTAAAGAAGAGATCGGCTATAGCCATGCATGCGATAGACAATGGACATAAGATTGATTTCGACAATGTCGAAATTTTTGGAAGAGGATTTCTTTCACATAAAAAAGGTTGATCGCTGAAGCCTCGCACAATTTAACTACATCAAATGCGGTGAGTAGGAAAGAAGGGATAGACTTATCACCTATATGGCAAACTCTTATGAAGGAAGGCAGATGAAAAAACAGCAAAACTTCTATAAACCTCAATGACCTTTTAAAAAAGTATTGTCATGTTTATCACATGTGAGTTGACGTGTTTCCAATATGACAAATAACGTACACACACACACTCATACAGGCAAATATGCACATTAACAATTTGGCATTAGTCATTACAAATATATGATGACTGCTTACATATTTCTGCTGGTGCAAATATCTATCGACAAGAGACCTTCAAATAAACTGACTTCAATTTATGTAAAAATTTTTGACTATATATTTTGATAATTAATAAAATTCGAATTGTTCTCCTAAGAAGCTTTGGCTTACCCAGCGAAACGTCCAGAAAAATCTTGTTTTGATTTTTTCTTAAACACGCTGGGATTAATTTAAATAATTTATAATGAATCAATCTGACTTGGCGTCCAGATTATTCCAGGAAGTTCATAACACCTACGGTCTGGAAACTTATAATCTGTAAATATACACTTTAATTTTAACTAATAATTACTTGTTGAGGAAAGATGTTTTTGCCTCAAACGAAATCCCACAACAAATTTAGTGAATCCAGAACGTGCTGGTTACTTAACACAGAAATTCTGTTTGCTGCAATCCATTCAAAATGTGTTTTTTTTTCATTATGGTAATTAATTCTATTTTTCAATGTTTTCAGTTTTAGTTTATGAGGTGTTTGTTTTTGCTTTTTTCATGATGAATAACACCAATATTTGTATTTTTCATCAGGTAACATTTATGTCACTGTTCAAAATTTTATAAAATGACATTTTGAAAAACACTTAAACAACTCATTATAAGCAAACAGATAATAATTTATGTTATCACGTGTAAAAATGATTAAATACTGAATGTATTTTAGAGGTTGCCGGAAACATTAAATGTATTCATGCAATCCTTTCCACTGATAAACTTGAATAAAGCAAGAACGACTAAAGTACCAAGATAATACGAGCTTATCTTTCATTATTACAAAGATTATTCTCAACTAGCTACTACCTGAACAATTCAAAAAATATAAATCATATAAAAGATTCCAGCATACTCTTTTCTCGGTGACAAGAAGTAACTGATAGGAACTAACAGTAAGTCCGGAATGATGTAAGTTGTTAAATTATTAAGAGTTAAAAGGACTGACTATTCACACCGTATATAGACCATTCCTCTTGAGAATAGAGCTGAAAACTCCTGGGTAGAAGTAAAATTCAACTAGAAATAGTATATCAACGTGATAGGTTATGTAATCACAGAAAATGTTTTTATAAGTTAGCGAAAAGAGGGTAGCGTGAATGATGTTCAGATGGAACGATAAAATCTTCTAGACAAGCCAGAAGACATAGAAAATTACATGACGTAATATGACTTTACAGTTCGTTATGCAAGTATAATGAGTAAGTTAGTGCAGAATTCACCAATCTTTCTCTGCCTACTTGGCTTACTTTAATCGTTGGATGGCGACTGCTCCAGCAAAACGTTACAAGCTAGTTTTCTTCTGGGGTTATTTTGAACGCCTTCAGGTTGTCCACAGTATGAAAGTGTCCGATAGACGGCACACAAGTGCACTGTTAAATGTCTGTGATTCCTATGTATTCTCAGGTTCTTTGATATGTGTTCAGAAGCGTGGGCAGTAACCTTTCTTTCTGTTCCTCCGACTTATGTGCTTTCACACTTACATGTAAATAGACACAGTTGGAGGTTATATGAAGTGGAAGTCTGTCCACTTTTGACTGCCTTAAATAACTGGTCGTTTGTTAAAAACACACAAGCTTGGCGGCTGGACATGCAGTTTTAAGCACAGTATTTAGTCTGAATCTTATTCCACTAACAGTATCATCACCTTTGAGGACAAACTGTGGAAGGATAGACTGTTTTTCTACTGTATGACCTTTTCATCACCACGTTTTCCATGCTTGTCAATGAATTCCTCTGGGTAATCCAGCAAGCACTTTTCCATTATGGATAACTGTTCCTTGACATTACTTATGAGTACAGCTTTCTTGCACGATCGAACAATATTCTCACCATTCCTCTTTTGTAACCAACGGGGCAGAAGCTTTGAAAGTCCAGATAAATTGCTCTTCAGGTATCTTTCCCGTGGATTTACATAACAAGTTGGATACTAAGATCAAGAAAATGAAACTTGTCCTCATTTTCATACTCCATTCAAAACTTCATGTTAGGATAAGCACTCTTCAGGACTTTTGATACTTGAGATGCATCAATAAAACAATCACAAATGACAAACTTATCATCAAAATATTCGGTATAAAAGTGTGTCCGTCCTTTTGCGAACTTCATTCTTGTTTGTTTCAGGTTGTCAATTATTGAATGCCTTCCGCTACTCTACTTATCTTTGGCAAGCTAAAATCCTGTCTTGCAAGACTGAAAACAACTCAAGTAGTCATGGTTAGTGTCGAATAGAGGATAGATCCTATTAGTGCAAACTCTAAACACTATATATCTTAATACTAACTGTGAGTTTTGATGAAATGTAAATACCATGCTTTCATTACCGCGATAAATACTGAACTATGGAATAAAGTCTAAAAATAAATAGCAAGGCAAAACCTTTAGTTATAAGTAATAATTTCTTTATAAGTATTTCTCCCACTATTTGGACAAACCCTAACGGAGGACTTTTAAGCATGATAATAATAATAATATGAGTTCCTTTATCATATATCTTATAAATACAAAACTTACCAAGAACACCCCAAGGCCAGTATAGATTGAAGGCTGCAACCGTTTTTAAAGGAAATCCAATAACTGCAGAAAACCCAAAATCTGATATAGCCAAATTTATAATCAAAGCATTTTGTAGGCCAGTTGGATATCTTGGACTAAAAGGAATGTAAACTACTTTGGTTTAAAGAGTGTAACACGAATTAAGATATTTTTCAGCGAAGAAACCGTGTAAAGGGGATTTCGCTGACCAAGTAAAAATGTCTAGGGCATTTAAGTACTTTATTGCGGCATTATAACTCTAATTCATAGTGTCAACCACTTTCGGGATATATTTGCTGCCTATTGACTATATGTGGTTAGTCTTTTTATAGATGATACTTGTGCCACTGACTTAATGCTTACCAGTGCCATCTTAAGATGAGTTTTGTTTGAATTCTATGCTTGCCTACATACGATTATACACAGTTCATAGCAATATTAAATTATTTTATTCAATGAACTCACTCTGCATGTGATCAATTGAATTTCACCATCTGGCATTGGGTGGTCTAACTAAGTCTAACCAAGCATTTGATTGTTAGCTACATCTCATTACCATTCTTAAGTGTGTAAAAATGACTACCCGAATTACTTCTGAACATCGTTGCGATTTATTGAGTCCCTGCCGAATATCAAATTTGACTGTGTGTGAGATTCCAATTGATAGTATGTGAGTTGATTTTGTCGAGAAACAAACTTAGGCATCTATCAACAGTATATGGTCACAAGTATGTTCACAATCAAACTAAATACCTAATGGGTTGGAATTCAGTGATTTATAATTTTCATACCCCGCCAATTCTCTATATGGACCGGTTGCTACCGTTAGTCACCTGTGTATAACTTCAGGTTCGAGGTGATAGGCCTCATCTGTTGTACTCGCTCATTTAAACTATAAAAATTCTGGTATCACTTATGTGCCAACCACCTAATCTAGTTGTACCGACATCTATCTATCGCAAATGATCACTGGACTCTATGAATGATTCCCACTCTAGAATGAAGGAGCTTTAAATAGATTTTTCAATGATTCTGTATCTGAAGTCGTTTCGTGATGAAATCCCCAAAGAATTTATTCGTTTTCTATTCAAAAATTTGTATTTATCCCTTGAATTTATTTCAATTTATTTCTAAAAGTTAGAGATGCCGGTATATACGTTATTATATGCTTTTTAATTCTCCGCTGAATGTTTTATCTAGACAACGATAACGTAGATAGGATGCATGCAGTAAAAGATATCTGTGTAGTAAAAACCCTTTGGGTTGTATGACTTACCACGACAACAAAAAACGACTATTTACTTATTTATCGATATACTTATGGATTATAAATTTTCAATAGAAAAGCAGAAAATAGTTTAACTGCTTAAAAGAACCACCTTACGCATAACATTCTCCAGCAGACAATTAACTGAGTCTAACGTTAAGGATAGGATACCACTTTCGGCCACCTCAGTGTGTATTTATCAGTTTACTTGTTCATATGGAGCAAGGTATATTGGTCATACGCAACGTTAATTCCACAAACGTTTTCTAGAACACTGTTCAGCTTGCCTAGTCAGAGGAGAAAAGAAGGCCCTATCCTCAACACACCTCGTCAACTGTTGATATCTAGCACCTCCCCATGAACGTTTTGCAGTGCTACACAAAGTTCCTCAATGTCGTACTAAAGTACTTCAAATACACCATCTGTGCATAGCTGAATCGTTAGCTATTTGGGATCTGAAACCGGACCTCTGCATTCAAAAGCATCACATACATTCACTCTACCCTGACCAGAGTAACGTTTTTACTATACTTTTGCTTTTTATTTTTATTTTATTTTGATTACAGCTTGATTCCACACCGTATTTTTGGTACAAGTATGGAATTTTCAGCATGTGATATGCGTAGCCCAAATTTTGCCGGCCGACCATAGATATCAGGTGTGCTTCGGCGGGGGATCGAACCTCAGACCATGTGCATGGTCGGCGAGAGTCCTAACCACTATGTCACCGACGCTTCATTTTATTATGTAAGTTTACTCTTTTAACTATTTTATCATTATTATTCTCGTCATCCTTATTTTATTATCACTCTATTACTATCTATTAATAACATTGCATTTTCATACAGATTTTATAAAAGCACTTTGTCGTCTTTCCACTAGTTCTTGTCCGCTCTACGCAATAATACTGATTAGTCATTCTATCACATTCATCAAATCATCCCAGCTTCTGCCCCTTTTCTAATTTCCAATTAGTCAGCCCTTCCAGATTACACGCTAGCTCACATTATACATTTTCGAGGACAAATTTCACTAGTATCCGATAGGTCTTATGAATTTTTTGTCAAATGTAATTACGATTGTATAGCTTATGAAAATGAACCATTGAAAAGAAAATTTTCTTCGCTGGTCACGTCTTTTTCTTGTGACTCAGTTTTGGAATATTTCGTTCATTAACTAAAAATGTATTCTCTAATTCCACACACAGACAAACTGGTAACTAAGTTTATTATCGCTACTTAAGTGCACACAATTACCAAAACTGTTTATTATAATAGAGAATTCAGTTTTAAAGGCTATCCTCTCCACTAAAGTCACATGTATGCTGACCCTTTCCATACCAATTAACAAGTGAGCTTTTTTATCCAAAGGGTGTAAATGTAATTAGGAGATAAAGATATTGCGTGTATACTCAAAATTTCCGATTGTATCCAATGTAAAAAACCTCATCTACAATCAGTGCTTTTCTTATTTAATAAACTCTTCACAGTATATGCAATTAATTTTTTTTCTAGCTCTCACGTAATCCATATTTTTTGCAAGACTACATTATTTTTGTTAGCTGAAAATTGCTTTGTATTTCTGTTAATAATTTATTATAATTGGTTAAGAAGTCGTTATTGGATTTCTGGGAATTCGGAGTAGTTTTATTTCAGTCATTATATTTCATTGCTGACCAACATCAGATATAAATTTTATTGAAAACTAAGGAGCACTGGACGGCTGTTTCGTCCTATCCTGGGGACCCTTCAATAGCATCCATCTACCAGGAATCGAATCCCATGGCCTTCAGGTTATGAGACCAAGCTCGTTGGTCATTCGGCCAACTGGGTCGGAATTCAGTCAGTAGTGGATTCTAATTTTGTGACATAGCACTACCCCCAGTAATAGCCCCGATAAGCATCCCCTTAACCTTGACATTATGGACCCCAATAGTCACAACTTTTCTGTGCAGCTTCAGGACATCCATACAGTGGCCATCAGTGACCTGGAGATTAATGCTTAGATTCTGGGATTTGTAGGGATTTCGGTTGATTTAATTTCAACCGTTAGATTTCGTTACGAACCGACATTAATCAAAGAGATCATTGAAAACCAGGGAGTCCTGGTGGGTTCGTGGATACGTACTGTTGAATCGTCCCCAAAACAGGATGAAACGGATGTCCAGTGCCCCTTGGTTTTCAATAATCTCCCTGACTGAATGGTTCGTGACGAAATCAAAGGTCGGTGTTTGGAGATTACCTAATAAACACTCTACGCTTCATTACACGCAGTAGTAATACACCAGTAAAATGAACGATTTTCTCGAACTGATGCTCTTTGATACCGCGTTGTCTGCATAACCTATCAGGTTAATAAATTCTGTTTTGACATTCTGAGTCACTGGTGTTTAATTTCGAAATTACTTTCAAAAGTCAGACTGGTTGAGTATTCTGAATTCTATCTGATATAACCACAAGTTACTCATCTCAATTTGTGAACACATTTTATCATAATAGCTTCACACGTAAATATCATCTGTACAAGACAGTTTCGGTGTCTGGTAATCTTCTTGCAATTAGTTGTTCTACGTATACTGATACTGATTAGCAGTTAATGCAATGAAACCAAACAGGTAGACAAACATAAGAAAAAAGCACAATGGCATTCAGTTGCTTGATTGAAAATATTTTAATGTTTCAGTAGAAGATTAATCAGAAATACCGATGTTCTCATCAGAAATACGTGAAATGACTATAACCTGTTAGACAAGTGTAAGCCGAAACAAAACATAGCCTTCTGCATATTATACTGGGACTCGGAAACAAATTTTGGCGTTCATCGTTAGACTAACCAAAACTAAGCGTTTAGTTGACAGTTCTCCTGCCCATATGTTGGGGCTCTTCAGCAGCACATACAGGTTATCCTAGAACATTCTAGTTTTACTCTTATCACCTTCACGTTTATCCTTTTTAACACAAGCTGAAATCATCTTTAATTTGTGAGCTGCCTGTAATTAAGATCTTCATTATCTCAGTTTCGGACTTATTTTTATTCCTTTGAAAGGTTCAGTAAATAACAGCCATTGTAAACGAAACAGTCACTACCTAGTGTCCAATCAAAGTATCCATTACAGTCCTACAGGAGGTCAGTTGAGAGCACAAAGGCTCAATAGTAACGTCTTTAACTGTAGCACCGGGTAACCTGAGTTCAAATCTCAGAAGGGACATAAGTTCGGTCAAGATTGCAGACATATCTTGCTGATGTGTGCTAACAAGCAAAAAACTTAAGTTCAAGGCTTCCTACCGATTGCCTCCAACTCTCTAATACCAACAGTTTACAGTCCACCGTGATGGTGAGCCACCTAGCATAGTTGACAATTTCAAACTTGCTTGATAGAATTCATTCCGCTCCGACACCAAGGACTAGATGTACAAAATTATTTACTACCTAGTGTCCAATCGAAAAATGATTTCATCTACCATTTATTTATCCTAAGGGTAGTGTAGAAATTTAACTCACCTCGAAAAAACAAATATTACTAATAGATTTACTATCATTCCTGTTATTCCAATGATGCCAACGTAGGTTCCAATTATATAATTGTATATTGGATCCGGTGGTGTAAATTTATCCCAGTGCTTCAACATAATTGCATCTGAGTTATGAATATTTCGTTTTAATGAAAAAAATGTTCCGTTATAGAAGGCATTGGATATGTTTTGCCTTAACGTCATGACAGTTACTCACCTAAAATATCATAGAAATAAGGGATTCAAATTAATTGGAGAGAAATAAAGTTGAAATATGATAGGCAAACAACGTAAACTTAGCACAAGTAAAGAAATAGTAAAATTAATCAAGTTACTATTTAAGAAGATATCAGTATGTGAATAGCATACACGACCGCTTTATGGAGGAAATGACGTTTGTTCGCATACTTTATCCTAAGAAATAGTTATAAAACCTACATTTCTGAATAACAGAGATAAACTTCATAGAAAGCTATACTGAGAATGATTTTGCAGACTTCCTTACTTTTCCGGTATGTAAATAATAAGTAATAATAATAATTAAATAATTTTTTTAAAATAATTTTTCCTTCACGTTCCCAGTGGAACATAGGGCTCCAAGCTAGTGGCTTGAAGTTTCTATAGCAGTGTTTAATATTTACAGGATGGGGTTGCTAGCCTCATGCCCAACCTTTCCTCTTTACCAGCATTATTTCTGGCTCAGTGAGGTAAAGGAGTGCGCCGGCCGGGGATCGAACCCCGAACCATATGCATGGTCGGCGAGCGTCCTAACCGCTATACCACCGACGCACGAAGTAATAATAATAATACTAAGTAACACTTAGTATTGCTGCGTTTATGCACTCATATGAAAATTTTTGCATAAAAATTTAGGACTATGTGATTTTGTAACTATTCTTGGTTTCATCTACACAAAGAATTGTAAATTTTTGATGCAACACGTTTGAGTGATTCGCACACAATTATTGTATGAATAAAATTTACGTGACTCTTCTCATACCTTAGTATAAGAAAAGGAATAAGTTTGACTTATCTCGAGGGTCTTAAAAATCAGTACAGGAAGAAAAAATTAAAACTAAGATTTCGGTATATCAAAACTTTGGAATTTGTGTATATCAAGATGAGATGTGACAATAGATTCGCAGTGTTTACAGTGAGTGAGAGTAATGATATATATATATATATATATATATATATATATAGAGAGAGAGAGAGAGAGAGAGAGAGAGAGAGAATTGGCAGCAGCTAGAAACCATAAGGCACTAAATCCCAGTCGACTGGCTAAATGGCAGAGAACTTACACCGTAGCTTTACTATCTTGGACTCCATCCTCCTTAGAATCATAGGCACACATAGCCAAATGGTTTGAAACTACGCTCGAAACAGCGGTCTAATACTCATCGATAACGGTTTGTGACGAAATTCAAGCTGCAAATCGTAGTAAATTACTCACTTCATAATAATATCCGGTGTTTCCACTTTACTTTTTGATTCGTGAACTAACTTGAGTTATTCCGAGGTAATTAGAAATTATAAAATCATAATACTTGAATTGTGTATTTTCAGTCTAAGTGGAACATAGGGTTTTAAGCTTCACCCTTGAAGCTTCAGTAGCAGTTGTGTTTATTTTTTTACTGGGTAGGGTCAATACCCTCATGCCCAACCCTCTGTCTTCACCAGGCTTTCAACCGCCAAAGTAGGGCTAGGCAGTGAATCGACGGGGAGTCAAATCCCGGACAAAATGCGTGGTTTGTTTCAGATAATGAATGAGTTCGTAGTTTTTTGTGTTACTGAAGCAGCTAAGTTTCGACTCTTTTCTTCTTAATCCAATGAATATTGTTCATAATCAGTAATTTAGAAAATACGTAGGTCATGTCTCAAACATATTAGTTATACTTTGAATGTGTTTTACGTTATTCCTTTTCTCATATAAAAGGCACAGCAATCACGTTTAATTGTAAATTAAATTTTTCATGTCTTTACAATTATATTCTGGCCTTTGGAAATTTTCCATTACTATTGTCGCTGCCCTAATGTTGTCATTTTGCCACAACAGTTATGGAAAGTCTCGAACACTTATTGAATATTCTATTCTTTATTTTGTACACAGTACAGCGCACTGTATTAGTAGATAAACAGTACCAGTGTAATCTCACATAAATAAACAAGGATGTTATCACCACTGGCAGCCACAATTTTGATTCTCAGTCGTTGCTGCCACTGTTCATTATCTCTAAAAACATTGAGTTCACACGCAGGAACAAACATCACTAACAAAATATGATTCTCAGCTAGTAAAACTATGTAAAGCAAGCATAGTTCGGAAAATCAGTGTTAAGATTAGGTCATAATAAACACTTAAGAACTAAATCTAGGACTGAAGCACAGTCTAAACCAACTATCTATAAATTACATCACTGAACATCTACTGCCTTAGTCCCCAAACCCAGGTACACTTTAAGTAACCTTTCCAATTCGCCCGACTCATTATAGCTATACCAGCCATTAATCAAAGTTTTCCCAATCCATTTCGAATAACAATGAACATAAGAAAAAACTGATGCTGAAGCGAAAAAATGATTACAATAAACGTGATGAAGTTGAATCGACAGTTAAATCTCATTAATGCACAAGGTAGCTTTGTTATCTGAACTTCAAGACCCAGATACTGACTAAGACTCAGTCTCCTTCAATAGCTTTATGCATGTCGTAGTATACATTTTTTCCAATAAAGTCAAATTACTCAACTTTCTGTCAATTAAATAATGAACAGTTAAGTATCTGATAAACAACATCAAAATAATTATATCATCTTTTAGTGACATGCCAATAAATACTTCATCGAATATGCTGATTATAACCAACTCTTAACATAATTCATTACAATTTACTCTAAAAATAGGCTGAATGATGGTGGTTGACACTATAAAGTAATCGTCATAGTGTAACAGAAATCTCTCATACTATCGTATCATCTCTGTCAAGTGTTTTATAACAATTTCATGTTAAATTCTGCCTAACCTTTATATAAACACTAATCTTGAGACATATATACACTGTAAAATTATTTTATTTATTAATATTGATTATTCATTTCTAATTTTAACAAAATTTAAAATATAATTTCTGACCCACTTTTATCGCTTTTTAATTACAAGGTACAAATCTCAGAAAATTTGCGTTTGATGATTATAATATAATGCAGATAAAAGTTGTAAGTCGGATATTTATCCTCACGTGTATTCAGTGCTAATTTAAATATCCAATACTATTTAAAAGAGAGATTAGTGTAGGTTATACTTTGTTTCTAACTCGTTAATTCTTATTGGTTAACCAAAAAAAGGGATAATAATCAACATGAGATATATGATGACTCCATCTATTTTTATAATACGCTGAAAGTGTAGAAGATTTCCTATCGAGTCAATTGGATGTCCAGCCTATGAATCTTTTGTTATTATGCTCTCGATCACAAAGGACAAAGTAACTTTTTGAAAAAATCTTTTTTTTTCCTGCTCAGTACTGAATAAATTTATAACAGACTCATGGTTTCTAATTGTAGGCTAAAGAATGCGAGGAAGTTCTCTTTCAATAAAAGGCAAGAATCAAAAGGACTAAAAGACAAAATCTGAGCATTCAAAACCTAGGTGACCAAAAACATTTATTGGCTAACATGTCTAGTTGCAACAAAAATTCACGGATAGGTGGTCGGGCGTGAATGCAAATATTTCTTGTTTCAAAATACTCACAAGATCGAAAACTTAATTTATTAGTAAGAAAAAATATAAAAGAAGTAAGAGATAAAAACCTGATTAGATCCACCGTGGATATTCCTAAAAGAGCTTACTAGAAGCCCATGAACTTAGGACTTGTGTCCCACTGCATTTGGATTATATGAGGTGTTTTGACTTATATTACTCTCTTCACAGCAGTCTAAAATAATTATTTTTTAGTTAATATAAATAGATGTCTTCTCTTCTTTCTGGAGAGCAGATGGTCAGAAAATATCAATAACGATGAACTCTGACAACGAATCAACTAAGAACCTATAGACTAGTAAATATGCCGAAGAAAGTGTGGATGGATCCGATACATCGTGTGCCATACCCTAGAGTGGAAACCAAACAGGAAACGACAAGTTGGACTTCCGAGGATGACATGAAGGAGACAGTGTGAGGAGGAGATCACAGCATATGGGCAACCATGAAGTCAGCCGAAGAGGTCTGCAGAGAACAAGATGAAATGCAGATGTGCTGTTGAAGTCCTATCTTCTACTAGGAACATAAGGGAATAATAATATTAATGTAAACACATTTCTTTGAGTTAAACAGCTAGTAATCTTGCATTCAATACTATCTCATATCTCTGTATTCTATAAACAATATCATGGTGTTAGTAAATAGTGATTCATGAGGATAGGAAACCATTTGGTACACTTTAGTGCTAGAATTACATTGATAAAGCAACTTTTTTGACACCTTAGACTTCTGAAAGTTTAAAATCACGAAACTACCTATGACACTATCTCTCCTTATGTTTAAAATACTTCTCGGTTTTTTGCGACTGGTCTTTCAGCCTTTTACTACACAGTAATGTATCATTACGAGAATATTCTCATTGATAGATTGACATAATACAGATTAATGTGCATTAATTAAGAAGGTTAGGCATTAACAAAAGAAAGTATGAATGCATGGCAAGGTATTGTTGTTATCGTTAAACAGAAGTGAAGTGAGAGGCACTTCGCTGCAGACTTGGGCTTAAGTCTGATTTATAAAAACTATATTAGAGTTACCAACCAGTGTGAGTGTAGCGACGATGACTAACGATGGTTATTTACATCTAGATTTGTATTTGGTTCAATTAATCTTCTTACTGAAGTGGTTTCTCTAAAAAAATAAAGTGGAAAACTTCACGACAATTTTTACCAGAGAATCTCTTAGTCTGAATCACACCTCTGTATTTAATTTATGATTATCAGTAGCCTATCTTCACTTCTTAGATCCGTGTTGTTTTACTTATTTCTCTCCAAGACATCAGTGAACAACCAGTGATAACTAATATCAATCTATTCGCAGCTAATCTCAGGATCAACATAGCCAGGTGTGATATTCACT